AGTGGTATACTGCATAATTGTTATAATGGTTAAGATATTTTTTTTGCATATGCCATTTCTGATTGTATTAACTATATTAGTAGAATACCATGTTATTTGATTCTTTAACAGGTTTAGTTTTCATGAAACTAAAATAGTTACTTCAAAACTGAAAAGGTATTTAGGTTCCCACTCCTTCTACTTTCCACCACCAAATTAGCAACTTTTGGAGTGACTAAGGCTATGTAGTAGGTGACTTTCTACTTCTCAGTGTCTTAATTATTTTTATTCCACTTCAGTCAAATATTTTTTATGCCTATACAATGGACTCGACACCTGGGATTCAAAAGTGGCAAGTTACATTGTAACCTTGGGAAAAAATAAGACTGCAAATGTGTTGAGTATGTGGAAATTTTGCTTTTGAGGAAAGTGGTTGTACTTAGGACTGCTTTTTAGAAATCTCGAGTGTGAGCAGTTTGGTCATTCCTTCTGTGTCCTGGTTATAGAACTCCATGTTCATTTGTATTCCAGGTTGTTGGTTTATTAGGTTAGGTGAATATTTATTTTCCATCTTGTGAATGACAGGCAAAATTTATGCCCGAGAGTCTGGAGCTTGGGTGAACCATTTGCTAGGGCCCTGAAAACTACCTTTCTCTGTCACACAAGCAGTTGTTGTAATCAAATTGGCTCCATGCCTAGAGCAGGCTGTGTGACTCAGTGACAGTTGCAATCAGAGCATGGAGTTGGAGACAAAGAGGTCATAGATCAGGAAATCACAGTGATGGTAGCCAATTGGGGTTAGATAGTTTGATATAAGTGGAGGTTTTCTTCCTAAAGAATTTTTTTTTCTGAAAATATCATTCAGCAAAAACACATTAAACCCTTTTTCTTTTGCATGAGATTTAAGCAAATTTTTGTCCTTGTATTAAAGACATGGTTCAACACTAAAAGTCATTCTATATTAAGAGTGAGTTCCACATATTATAACATTCAACGTTTCCAGTGATTTTTAGATCCAAACTTGGTCAGTTTAGGGCATAAGTATCTACTTTCACTTGAGTTAGACTCACTTTTTGATGTCATTTGATTTTTAAAAAAATTTTTTTAAAAATTTTTTAAAATCTCAATTATACAATTATGAGTGCATCATAATTGTATAATTGAGATTCATCGTTAAGTGTCTACATGCACAGGACATTATTTGGTAATTTCATTTCCCCGTACCTTCCCTGTCCCTCCCATCCTGTAGCCCCCTTGTCCTCTTTTTCTACTCTCTGGTATCCCCTCTATTTTCATAAGATTCTCCCTGCTTTTTTTTCCTTTATTCTTTCTAGCTTCCATATATGAGATAAAAATGTGATCATTGACTGTCTGAGTCTGGTTTATTTTGTTTAACATAATGCTCTCAAGTTCCATCCATTTTCCTGCGAATTACACATTTTTATTCCTCTTACAGTTCAGCAAAACTCCATTGTGAATATATATCACATTTTCTTTATCTATTTATCTTTTGACAGACACCTAGTCTGGTTCCATAGATTAACTATTGTGAATTGTATTGCTATGAACATTGGTACAGTATGCTGATTTTAGGTCTTTGGTATAAATACTGAGGAGTGGCGTAGCTGGGTCATATGGTGGTTCCATTTCTAGTCTTTTGAGGAACATCCTTACTGACCTCCCTAGTGGTTGTACTAATTTACAGTCCCACCAACAGTATAGAAGTGTTCCTTTTCCCCCCTCATCCTCACCAGCACTTATTATTGTTTGTATTCTTAATGGTTGCCATTCTAACTGGAGTGGCATAAAATCTCAGTGTAGTTTTGATTTGCATTTCCCTGATTGCTAAAGATATTGAACATTGTTTCATATATTTATTGACCATTTGTACTTCTTCTCTTGAGAAGTGTCTGTTTAGTTCTTTTACTTATTGATTGATTGAGTTATTTAGGTTTTGGTGTTAAGTTTTTTTGAGTTTTTTAAAAATATATTCTGGATATTAATACTCTGTTGGAAAAGTAGCTGGCAAAGATTTTTTTCCCATTCTGCAGGCTCTTGCTTCAGGCTCTTGTTTATTTTTCTGTGCAGAAGCTTTTAATTTGATGCTATCCCATGTATTAATTCTTGGTATTATTTCCCGAGCTTTAGGAGTCCTATTGAGAAACTCATTTCCTATGCTTATATGTTGGGGTGTTGAGCATATGTTTTCTTCTAGCAGTTGCAAAACTTCTGGTTTGGTCTAATTCCTAAGTCTTTGATACATTTAAGTTGAAAATCATTTTGATTTTAACATTCATCCCAGGTTACCTTCATTCTTCCTAATTAAGATAATACAATTGATTTTCCAAGAGAGATCTTAAAGCAGAAGTTTTCAAATGTTTTGAAGTCTATATCTATATATCTATATATTTTGTTAAAAATGATCAAACATTTCAATTTCATATCTGTCAATCTAGTTTTCAGTAGTTATAAATTTACATGGCAAATGATAGAGCTCTATATTGATTTAAACTATTGGTCTACTTTAAGGGGAATATGTAAAAATTAGAAAAGGATGAATAAAGGCTTGAAATCATGATAGTTATAGTATAATTTATTTCTTCTCTTTGTATGGTATCACCTAGCACTACAAGGTAGAAGTACTTTGACAATAGCAGAGGCATTATCCTTAATTGTGGTTGAATAGAACTATTGTTCTATTAGGTGTCTTAGTCCATTTAAGCTAGTGTTACAAAATACCAGAGACAAAATGACTTACAAATATTTGAAACTGATTTCTCACAGCTTTGGAGGCTGAAGGTTCCACAGTCAAGGTGCTGGCAAGTTTTTTTTTTTTTTTTTTAAATAGAGAGAAAGAGGGAGAGAGAGAGAATTTTACCATTTTGTTTTTCTTAGTTTTCGGCAGACACAACATCCTTGT